AGGATGGCAAAGATGTTACGTCGCACAGGAGGAAGTGAGGAAAAAAAAAAAGAAGAAAAAAAAATCGCTGGACGCGTCCAGCACCTGCAGCGCCGGGTTGAGACGCTGGAGGAGTTGCAGGAGCAACATAGCGGCCGTCTAAGGGTCCTGGAGTGGTGCGTCGGCGCGCTTCGGCGCTTGTTCCGGGCTTTCTGTGACGAGTCGCCGGCTCCGTTGGAGCCGTGAGGGGGCTGTTGCGGCTTCCTTTTTCGGGGGAAATGAGTGCTGAAGCCGAGTACCCAGATCCGGCTAACACGTCTTCCGATGGATCCTGGCAGCCGGTTCCTCTGCAGGCCATTCCGACTATAGCCCTGTCTCTCCAGATGATCTTCACGGGGGCTCAGCTGGCCAGGGGCCGATGGGGGCTTCGCCGAATGGCCCTGCCGAGGGTGATGAGTTGACCGAGGAACAGCTAGGGAGTTTGATGTCTCGTGAAGACTCCCTTCCTGCCCATGACGACGACCCAACTGCGAGCCACTTGGAGCAGCAGCTTGCCGACTTTGCCAGCTTTGGAAACGGCGCTGGCGACTGGCATGCCATGAACTCGAGTTTGGTTCTTGCCAGGCATTCCCGTCAGGTGATGCCGTGGGAAAGGGTTGTGAAGCCCCGGTTGGGGCCCAGCTTCATTTTCCAGGAGCCTCTGCTTGGGCGTTTTGATGGTCTTACCAGAGCAGTGATCCCTGCCCCTTCAGCACGACCGTGGGCCTGGGTTCCCAAAGGTACGTACGAGGCCAGACGACTTCTTGCGGCCAGGTTTGCCAAGAGCGATGACATGCTTCGGCTCTCTGCACTTAAGAAGGTCAGGCTCATCGTGCTGTTTTACCCGGACGACTCCGAGCTCGGGAGAAACCTCGTGGGCTCTGCAGGGTCACTGGTGGAGGAGGCCATACTGACCTCGACCATCGAGGACACCTTCTCTGGCAAGGCGGCTAGCACTTTGCTCAAGCGGGCCTCGGACTTCTCAAGGTTTGCCAAATGGATCGTGGCCAACAAAGGGCGCCCTCTGGCGCCTTCTGAGGGTGAGCTGTACGCCTATATGCTGCACCTGCGCCGCACCAAAGCCGGAGCCACAGCGGGAGAGTCCTTCCTTAAGTCCTATCGGTTCTTCATGCATCTGACCGGAGCCGTTCAGAATGCCCGGATCTCGCCCCGAGTGCAGGGGGCGGCAAAGGCGATGGCTATGGTCAAGAGGCCTCTCTGGCAGGCACCGCCCCTGCCCGAGGAGGCGGTACGGCTGCTCGAGGAGTTCGTCCACGAAACCGAGGACTGTGCAAGGGCCAGCATTGCGGGGTTCATGCTCTTCTGCCTCTACTCCTCTGCGCGCTGGTCGGACGCGGCCCGTGGGACAACCATGGTCATGGATGTGGCGGGCAACGGTTTGGTTCTGCTGGAGTGCTCTACAAAGCATTATAAGACCAAGGCCAAGGACCGGAAGGACGCTGTGCTCCCTCTCATTGCTCTGGGCAGCGGCCTTACCCAGCCTTCTTGGGGGCAAGTCTGGATGCGCAAGCGGGCTCTCGCGGGGCTGCAGGATTCCTCAGTGATCATGCCGGCCATGTCGCCGGGGGGCAACTTCCTCGAGAGGGCCATGACTGCTGCCGAGGGCTCTCTATGGCTTCGCGAACTCCTGCACCTGCAGGGCTTCACCGGTGATTTGGAGAAGTTCAGCTCCCACAGCTTGAAAGCAACCGCTTTGTCCTGGACGGCCAAGAGCGGGACCATGACTTACGAGGAACGCCTTACTCAGGGACACCACTGCAGCCCTAAGCACGGGATGGCCCTTCTTTACTCGCGGGACGCCCTCGCGGAGATCATCGTGAAGGTGGCCAAGGTAGTGAGTGCCGTGAGCCGGGGAGTGTTCAGCCCAGACCTCCCGAGGGCCGAGAGGGTCGCAAGGGCTCTGCATGCGGATCCCGCCGACTTTGAGCATCTTCCGGAGACTACGGCTGAGGATTTACCAGCTGGGGAGCCTCAGGAGGAGAATATTTCTGAGGCTGGGTCTGACATAACCGACCTCGGCGATCTCAACGATGACCTAGGGGCTCCGGTTCCTGAGGAAGTCCGCCCTAGGCTGAACTGTGCATTTTCGGGGACGACGTACATGCACGTCTTGAGTGGAGTGGTGCATAAGATGGTCAGCCCTGGAGTTTTGAAGTGTGGTAGGAAGGTCACAGCTAATTTGCGCTTAATGGGGCCGGAGGAGGCCCAGGACAATGTCTGCCAGCAGTGTGCGGCTTGAGGGGGAAAACATAACAGACCGGGTCGTTTGAAGCAATCCAGTGGAGCGAGTGCATGAGCTTCTGACTCTCCGTGGCATCGTGCCCGGGCTAGCTGAGATGGGAACAGACGAGCCGACTGAGATTTGCCAGAGTGCGTCTTGATTGAAGCGCTGAGCGAGTTGTGTGTGCTCGCAGTCCTTTGGCTGAGCTTGCCGAAGCGGGGGGGAAGTCGACCCGTGCCGCCTGCTGATTCCCAGGCCGGCAAAGCTGAGGGAAGCGGCTTTGAGTGCCAGGGATTCTCCCCGCGTTGTGCTCCGTTGACTGTGCTGGGCTGCAACATGAGACCGTGCTCTGATCAGACGGTGCCGGCTGAGATCGCCGGCGTTTTGATAGTCCGCCTGGGCTCGGCGATATAAGAGTGCGAAATTGAAAGATGCAACAGCGCCCACGGTTGAGTCCGCCGTGGGCAACTTGGAAATCGGATTTGGTTGCTGCCCAGGACCCATGGCTGGGCTTGAGTCGGCACCCGCCTTCATCGAGCGGGCCAAGCAGATCGGCATCAGCGAGGACCTCCTGGGCAAGTTCACATCCAAGAACCTGGACACCTACGGCAAGCTCGCTTTCGTGTGTTCGAGCAAGCCTTCTAGCGGAGATGACACTCCCCTCTTCGATGCGCTGAAGAC